TTCTTTTTTTAAAAAGACTTTATTGTTTATTATTATTTTTATGTGTATGAGCATATTGCCTGCATGTATGTGAGTGCACCCGTGTCGTGCAATGCCATGGAGGTCTGAAGAGGACTTCGGATTTCCCTGGAACTGGAGTTAAGGACAGTTCGTAGCCGTCATGTGGGTGCTGGGAATTGAACCCAGGTCCTCTGCAAGAGCAGTCGTTGCTCTTAACCGCTGAGCCATCTCTCCAGCCCCTGTTTTGTTTTTTAGCAACAGGGTCTTACTATTTATCCCAGGCTGACCTTATCTTCCTGCCTCTGTCTCTGAGCAATGGAATTGCGTGCATGTGCCACCAATCACAACTTCTTTCCTCTCTTTTAATGTACTACTCCAAGGAAATTTTATGAAGCTCAAGACTTTGAAGAAGTGCTAGAGGTCAAAATGGTTTGAAGCTGTGCATGGTGGTATACACCTGTAGCCACAGCACTTAGAAGGTGGAGGCAGGAGAATTAAGAGTTCAAGGTTGGGAACTGGAGAGATGGCTCAGTGGTTAAGAGCACTGACTATTCTTACAGAGGACTGAGCTCAGTTCCAAACACCCACATGGCAGCTAACAATCACCTGTAACTCCAGTTCCAGGGGATCTAATGCCTTCTTCTGGTCTTCACGGGCATTGTACACATATGGTGCACTAACATACATTCAGGCAAAATATTCATACATGTAACATAAAATAAAATTTTAAAAATTAAAAGAGTTCAAAGGCATCCTCTGCTACATAATGAGTTTGGGGCTACCCTGGGCTACAGAAAGACTCTGTCTCAAAATACAAAGAGGGAAATGGCTTAGTGGGTGTAGGTACTTGCTGACCTGAGTTCCATCCCCAGGATCTACATGGTAGAAGGAGAGAACCAACTCCCACAGGTTGTCCTCTGACCTCCACAAGCACGTGCATGCGCACGCGCGCGCGCGCACACACACACACACACACACACACACAGAGTGGCTTAAGACTCTTGAGCCTAGATCTACAAGTACAGAAATAGTTCAGAACTTCTTGTCTCCACCGTAGCACAATTTTTATTTTTACCTCCGAGTGCAGAAATAGTACGTAAACTATTATTTCAAAATATTTTTACTTGTTTTTCTAGGTTAAAAATTTAAACACTTCAGCTATTTCTCCCAGAGTCTATTCTTATTTAGTGTATTATGCATTTGTTTAGTTTTAAAATTAATCAATTAAACACATATATACACATGTACACACCCCCACCCAGCACAACTGAAAGTTGCTACACTTGAGGAAAAGTATAGAACTTAGTTTTCAGTTTGCGTTCCCTATGAACACCTTGTATAATCAATAGAAAATGCATTAGCAGTATTGCACGTAGCAGACTTCCTTCACCACTGTAGCTTCTTGGAACTTCTTGCTCCATTGAATTTCTGAGAACCTTTTTGTCTTGAACACTCACTTGTTACTTTTTATGGATATGTTCCATTATTTTTTCACTGTGGAAGCTTTTTTATTTTGTAACAATACATACAACCATTTCTAAGATAGATATTTTCTCACATTTTAGTAGCTCTAAAATTAAGATGCTTTTTATAATTCAAATTGTTTTTTATTTGGCCAGGTGTAGTGGCACATTCTTTTAATCCTGGCAGAGGCAGGTAGATCTCTGTGAAACTGAGTCCAGCCTGATTTACATAGTGAGTTTCAGCCCAGCTGGGGCTACAAGGAGACCCTGTCTCAAAATAAACAAACAATAAATAAATTGTCTTTGATAAAATACTTTGTTTTATTCCCTTACATAGCCTGCTATAACCTTGACAGAGTAAACTATGAATAAATATTTATTGTTCAACTAATATGCAAATTAAGAACAGTCCACGTAACTTAGAGGACAACTTCTGGTTTCATGCCTCCTCAGGCTCCACGTACCTTGTTTTGTTGTCGTTGTTACTTTTTCTTGTGTTTGTTCAGTTTTGCTTGTTTGTTTGGGGACAGTCTCCCACTAAGACCTGGATCTTGCCCCTTAGGCCAGGCTGGCTGGCCAAAGAGCCTCCTGGGCCACTTTTAGTTTCCTTCTTTACATACTATCCATTCCAAACTTCAAACACCAAGACTTCTAACCGCACCCCCCGCCCCCCCCCCCCCCCCACAAACAGCACACGAGTGGAGCCTGACCCTAGTCTGATTTGCTTTAGGCCACTGTAATCTCTGTCCTTGAATTAGTTAGAACGTCAAGCCTCTTTGCTCTCTGTGACCATCTTCTGCTGCAACTCCTTTAACTGTTCATCATGGAAAGAAATGTTTGCAGGACTTTCCAGACCACAGCTGACTTTCTTTGTATCCATTGATCTTCTAGGTTCAGTGATGAATAAAAGAGGGAAGCTTCATTTGTTTTCACATAAGCACTTTCTCTTTCCATGTTTATCTTCTACAGAACTATCCCTTATAAAATTTCTAAAGCATTTCCTTAAGTACAGTCCTGTTCCTGTCTTCTCTCTCTGCCAAAAGCTTCCATTTGCCCTTTGGAATCCAGCCCTTCTCTTTGTCTTCAAATACTTCCCTGAATGTTCCTTGCACCTCTAGGTTTATCTAAACCTGGCTCTGTTTCCACCACTTGCCATCAGCTCACTCAAGAGAAGCCTGCTTATGTTCTCAGACCTCTGTGGGGTCAGGGCTTGATGGCACGTCCCAGTACTACTCAGAGTCCACTGCTCTTCTACCCTTTAGTAAAACCCTGTTTCTGGGGCTGGAGAGATGGCTCACCAGTTAAGAGCACTTGCTGCTCTTGCAGAGGACCTGGGTTCGGTTCCCAGCACCCATGGTGGCTAACAATCTTCTGTAACTCCAGCTCCAGAGACTCTAACACCCTCTTCTGGTCTCCACAGGCACAGCATACATGTGGTGCATTTACATACGTGAAGACAAAACACACATTGAAAAACAAAACAAAACAAAAAAACCAAAACCAAAACCAAAACAAACACCAAATCTGGCCTCTCCCCCCAGTTTTCGCCAGGCTCTAACTACCTATCCTTTGTACCTTATCGCTCACAGAGGATACTGGCATTTATCTTACTATTTTCTCTTGTGCCATGAGTCCTGTGATCATCCAAAATGACTTCAGAGTCAGCCTGAAAGACCTTATCTACAATGCCATTTTGCAGTGACACCATTTTGCAACAACCCACTCCTGAAGTCACTTCTAGGATCACGTCATTATGACCTAACTCCTCTACTTCCTCGGCTTCTAAAATCAGGAATTTAGCTCTCTGACCACAGTTACCTATCTTTCCAGCTTCCTTATTAAGCTTGCTTGGCTGCAACTGTTCTTCCTTTCCACTTGAATATCAGGTTCTTTGCCCCTTCACTTTCTTCTCCTTTTCTGTCTCATTTCTGTATTCATCTAGTTTATCAGTCCATCACTTCATTTGCTCTCTTTGAATTACTCAGAATGCTCTCTTGGAATATACCCTAACCCCATCACTCTCCTGGTTTATTACTTCTCTGGCATCCCTTCATGGGCATTTTGGTCGCTCCTCCCTCTTCTTCCTGTAAACCTTTGAACATAAGAGTTTTTCAGGGATCTGTTCTAAGAGCTCTTCTCTGTTTCTTCAACAGCCTTTCCTTAGGTGATCTCCACTTGTCCTATAGCTTCAGTGACAATCTGTGCGTGTGTGTGCCTCGTGTTGATACCTGCTACTGAGGTTCCGGATGACTGTCTAGTGCCTTATATCCTCAAATGATTGT